AAACGAAATGTTTTTCATTTTATTAATCATATAAAAATTAATTTTTCAAAAAAAATTGAACAATTTATTAACAAATAAATTACAATAACAACTAATTAATAATAGTTGTGTACTTATTAATATTATAATATAATAATAGAATTTTTTTGTATATATAAAAATAAAATTAATTATTCTAGTATTAAATCTAAAATAAAATATATTATAATTATTCATTATGTAAAGAAATAAAATTATTCAATTATATTTAATTAAATAATTTTATGCATGTTCAAAAACTATATTGTTTTATAAATTATATAAAATTATTTTATGAAATTTGATTGAATATTACAAGATTTTATGTATTAAAATTTATAAATTAATGAAAAATTTGTAATTGTTCAATTTAAAAAATTCAATAGCATATCATAGTTTATGTACTTCAATTAAAATAAAAATTTACAAATTTTAATTATTATTCAATTAGTATTAATTAGTATTAATTATAATAAAGTATTCTTATAATAAAAAATATTTTTATTAATCTAATAATGTAAATATAAATTAATTATACATAATTTGTATATTATATAAAATGGATATATATTAATTTGTTAAATCACAAATAAATTAGAATTTTTTATTTCTGTTTTATATTTTATTATTTAGTATTAAGTAATATATATTGTGAACATGGAATGTGCAACATGCAGTTTTAAATAAAAAACTTGTATTTTTGAAATGTATAAATAATAGAAAATTGATAAAATATAATTGATAAATATTTATTTAATAGAAGGATAATAATATACAACATTAATTATATATTCAAAGTAAAAACCTATGATATATTGCTATAGAGAACTTGATCAGATTTTTTTTATATTTACTTAAAAATTAAAATGCTTTGTACAATAAATTTTGTAACTGAATTTAGTATTACAATGCAATTTCCAAAAATTATTTAATTAGAAATTAAATATGCCTGTAACACCATTCCTCAGTCTCTCTTCATGTAGTACTCCTCAGTAGTTCTTGTTGGATGGTATCTCATTTTCATGATTTTTGGGTTCACCAGTTTTAATGTATATCACATGTATAAAATTGTATACATATTGTGTACACTAAGTGGCTTGAGAATTCTGTAAGCATATCATTATATAGTATTTTAATGTTTATATACATATATTTGATTTACAATAAAATATTATTATAAGTTAACTTTAAAAAAAAATATTTTTTTTAATATTTCTGTATAAAGAGATAAAATATTATTTATTTAACATTAAATTTAAAAAAATATAAAATTATAGACTATATTAATTTTATAATAAACACTTGTTAAATATTGTATCCTTAAAATCTTCATTACTGAACTAATATAAATAATATATTCATATATTAAAAAAGTGAATAACTATAGATAATATTAACTAAAAATATATTATATACTTACACTAGTGATATAAATAAAGATGATTACCTTGAAATATTAGAAAGTATAGCAAATATTGAAATAAATTATATTAAAAAAATTTTTTTATCTCTTAGATTAAATGTGTATTTTGAATTGATTAAAAATATCTTATAATGTATATGTAGTATAATATGTAGTTATGAAATCAATTTCTATGTTTGTTTATTAAATTTTCAAATAATAAAAAATTATATATTATTTAAATTAATATATTAATTTTTTTACAATCACAATTAATAGAAAATAAACTTTGCAAATTTTAAAATTAGAAAAACTTGTAATTGCTATTTCTCATATGAAACTGTTTACTATTAATTTAATTATTTTTAATTTAATTTATTAATTTCTAATAAAAAAAATTGTATTGTATATCAAAATTTAAGATAGCAATATATAGACTAATACATTTGCAAAAATGCATTTTAATATTTAATAAAATTTCTAAATTATTAATTAATTTTTTTTTAAATTAATTTAAGTAATCTAAGAGATACATAATAATAAATGACAATAAATACATCAAAAATTTTTTTTTTAATATTAAAAGCTGTAAAATGCAAATTATAATAAAATATATCAATTATTAAATATTCAAAAAAAAATTTTAGCAATAAAAGTAAACATTCGCAAAATATACATATATAATAACGATTAGACTCATGAAATATATGTTTAATTATATATATTATATACAATATTATAGATAAATAATCTTGATCGATAAATATATATGACTGCATTACATATAAAATTTTAATTTTTTCTTCTATTTTGAATTCAAAATTTTCAATATAAAATATGTACTCATCTCAAAATTTTAATTGTTGTTTGCATATAATATATTTTTACATTTACATGTTTATAGATTTTTATATATATTAATATATAGTATATATAATATAATTATAATTATGTAAATGTATATAATATTAAATGAATATTTATAAATAATAATAATATTTTTATTATAAAATAATAAATTTTACAATTAAAATCTTGAGATATTTTTAGTTAAAATAGATAATTTTATACAATGCATGTGACATTCCAAAATTATTATATGATGCATTAAGTACTACACTGTAAAAATTAAGAAGAAATCTTATTAGTTCAGAAAAATGAGGAAAGGATTGTCTTTATTTACATATACAAAATATACGCGGACAATAAAAGCATTTCCCCTTAAGAAAAGAAAAAGATTATATAATATGTAGGAATTTTATATTTTCAAACGTACTATTAATTTATACATATTATTATTGATAGTTGTTAACGTTAGAATACAGAAAGCAATATCATTTTATATCTATTTAACATGTTTAGATGTTATTTTAAAACAAGAGAATCTTTTATTTTTGGAATCATTTTTTTATCTTGTAAAATAAATTATGCAATATATATAATTAGATTCAAATACTAACAGTTATTATTGAAATCAGTAATCGGAGAATTCAACTTGGACTGCAGGAAAGGACTTGAGTATTGTTGAAATGTAATCTGAAGAATGAAAATAGGAAATAAAAGGATTATAAAATAATAATAAGATGAATTTTTAATGATTTTATGATAAAATTTTTAAAGAAATTGTTTTGTGTGTAATTTAAGATTTAAAAATTAGAATGATAAATATATGATTTAAAATATTAATATATATTAAATGAAATTAAGAAATTTTAAGAAGAAAATAATTCAGGTACAAATATTAAAGAAATTTTATTTCTGCTTATTTAAATGCTGATTTAAAGTAAATAATGTAAATATTATTATTTTATTGTAAAATTATTATGCAAGCATATTTTATTATATTTTTGAAAACAAAATCCGAGAAACACAAAAAAAATTATAAATATATAAGTATATACAAACCAAAAAAATAAATAACCATTATAAATGCGAATATTATTATATTTATAAACTGATAGTCTTATTCCGTGTACTATTAATATTAACAATATTTTAAGTACAGAACGCAAAATAAATTTATTGTTGAAACAAATGAGAGAGAAAGAGAAAGAAAGAGAGAGAGAAGAGACAGAGACAGACAGACAGAATACAAAATAGGACTACAAGTAGAAAAAGAAAAGTAGTAGAAACACGTGTTAAAAATGCACTTTGGATTTATTTTCATAACCATTATTATCATTATCAGGAATATACTGTTATTTTTGTTATTATTAATATTCAAATAAATGATATCGAATAAAAGATTAATAATAAACTTATAATTTTTATCAAGATAAAATACTTTACTTTTTAATTAAAAATACACAAGAATTTTGATAATAATCAAATTTTTTGTTTTTAAATTTGTTATTTTGAATATATATTATTTAACTACCTTGTAATTTTTATTTTGAATTATTTATAGACGAATAAATTTGTATATTTTTAATATTTTGTCATAAATTCACAATGACTAATTAACATTTTCAAAAATATACAAAATAAAAATTAATATCTGAGCAAAACCTACAAAAGTAAATGGTCTAAGATATCAGTAAAATATATTACTACCTTTATACACTCCATATTTCATTATTAGTAAAAATAGAGGAGATAACTCTAAGGGATTTGTTATTTATTTTAATATATTACTTTAAAACGATAATAGACTGTTAACGTTTGTTAATTTCAGGACCTTTCTTTTAACCAGGAACGGTAATATATACTTTGGTATATGTATACTAAATTTATGTTTGAGGATGGCCTTGACAAGTTTCTGTTATACAAATTTTTGAAGATATAAAATTAATCACATAATAAGATATAAAAAATAAATATATTATTGAAATAAATACCTGATATATGCAGTTTCATTAACCAGTTAAATCTCTGTGTAGAAATATTATATAAATATTATTTATTAAATTTAATATCTTCAGAAATCAATAATGCTGTTCTGTTAATATATCTTAAGTACTACTTACTTGTCATTATTTATGTTTATGTAATGAAACATGCATCTTCATGATTTTTGTTTGTTTATAAATTATGTAACATTTAATGTTGATTTTTTGTTATTATTAATGTTATTTCTACATAATTTCTATATAATTAAAAATTATAATAAAATTTATTGATTCAAGTTTGGTTTTAAATTCAAAATAATTTAAATAATGTAATTTAAATATAAATATAAGTTTTTTTTAAGAAACTAAAATCAAGGCCTCCTTACTATATTCCTACTGCTTGATTTTTAAAATGATCTAAATAAAATATTGATACATAATTTCCTGGACATAATTTTTATGTATATACATAGTATTTCTAAAACTAAATGATCAGTTTTTCTACTCTTCTAGCGCGTGACAAAATTTAAGACTTTTCAAAATATAGAATGAATAGCTATAAATTATACTTAAAACTTATTAAGGAAGAGCATGAAAAACTGACCTAAGAAGTAATTGTTCTGAGCGCAAGTTCTCTAGAGCTACAAAAATATATAATTGTTTATAGTAATATTATGCAGTTTTTATCAACATAGCAAGAAGATATGATATAAATATTCTATCAAGTGTTAATTATAATGAAAAACTAGATTTGTGAAATAATTTAAATTTATAAAAGATAATATTATTTTGATAAAATATTATTATTAAAAATAAAAAATAATCTTTTCTTTTATATTATAATTTATATATATATATATATATATATATATATATTGTACATATAGAAAAAAAATAATCAATTAATAAATATAAAAAAGTCAAATAATTTAAGATATATTAATTGGAAAATGAAGTTATAAACTATTTAAGTTTTATTGCATTAACTTTGAAAATTTTCACATTATCTAATTTTTCATAGAATACATGTATATTTGCATGTGTTCTTGATAGAATATTTTTAAATCCTCTGCTCATAACTGTAATATAATATTTTTACTCCTTGGATGAAGAATTTATAAAATCCAACAATAGATAGTGATAATTATGAAAACCATCAATATCAATATTGATTAGAATTAGCTGTAGGATATACTTTGAGTTCATTTTTCACATTTTTTTTCAAATTATATAATGAAATATAGAAATATCTGTCAGTGCTTAAATATTGTTTGAATATTAACATTTGTTAATCAGTTTACAATTTATAATATGTTTTCAGAAAGGTGGCAATACAAAACAAATTATTTTTCTTTTTTATATTATTAATTAATTTTGTTATTTGAACCTTTAAATATAACTGATAAAAGAAATATGTTTTTTTAATAATAATTATTAAATATTATGAATACATTTTTTAAATATTTTTTTTAAATAAGTAATTCCAAATGCAAAATTAACATTTCTTATTATCATTGGATATATAAAATTATTTAGAATTTAAAATATAAATTATGTACTTATTTTTTTGAATGGGTGAATGTATTAGGATTTTCAAATGTAGTTTTAAACTCTAATTTATTTTTACCAACAATAACGCACTGCAAGAATGTAAGATCTGCCCATGTTTTGCAGATATAGTTTAGGTAAGATTCCCTTATAATATATCCTTCCTTTATAATATATCAGTGTACTTTTCTTGCAAGTTAAAAATGAATCTCTTTTTACATTAAAAGAGATTAATAAAATAAACGTATTTCCGAACTTCTGCATCATTATATGATTATGGAACATGTCTAATGATTACAGTTGTACATTTGATGCAGTATACAAAAAAGTCAAAGGTTAGTTATATCGAAGGGAAATCGTATCCAAGACTTACACTATCCGCTCGGCTGGGACATACTTCTCGAAACACTTGTTCAATGAAAGGTTGTCTAAAAAAAAAAAGTATAATTAATATAATTTTAAAAATTTTATAAATAATTCTATTTAAATATAATTATAAGATGAAATTCTAAAACAACAAATGAGAAAATAAAATTCAATTTTTGAAATAAAATTAAATAAAATTAATAGATTAATTTTAATATCAAAAACATTAACTTTAATATTTATGCTTAATTTACCAATTAAAATGAAAAATATAGTATAATAAAAATATAATAATTTATAAATGTACATACTTGGCTGAAAGACCACCACCAGGCGGAAGATTAGGAAATTCTTGGTCCACAAGAAGTTGTAACAGTTGCAAAAAATCAAATTCATTTTTGTCCTTTTGTTCAGCAACTATTTCTATAAATACAAAAAATGATTACAATTTGTTAATTAAAATTACTTATAATTTAATTATCATTATTTTAAATATCTGCTTTAGAAATATTATCCTACTATATTATTAGAATATATTGTGCATATACTATCATATTTGTGCAGCAAACATTTGATCAATATTTTTTAAAAAATCAAATGCACTCTTGTATTTGATATATGTTAAAAATTTTGATTGTTTGTTATAATTATTACTTTATAATATATTGTTATTGAATAAATGATAAACACATAAAATGACTACAAATACATGCATCTACTTAGGACTGGAAAAATTAGTGCTTTCTTACTACATTTCTTATGGAAATCTTGGAAACAGAATCCGGTCTTAAGTAGATACATTGGTATCTATATTATTTATGTATAGATTATAAAGAAATATGTTTTTAATAACCCTTTTAGATTTATCCACCATTGGAATTGTATAATCTTATATAATATATATATATATATATATACACACACACACACATATACACACACATACACACACAAATATGCATACATATACATATATAAACATAGAAATATATATATTGTTGCAATGTTCCTCCATAAGAAATGCATTATTAAAAAAATAAAGATACAATGGGTAAAATATTTCTAAATTTTCATAAAAAAATATTCACCTACCTGTGATAGCTTTTAAATATATTTGAAAAGAGGAACAAACAACTTTTGAATAAAAATTTTACTTACAAAAGAGTTTAAAAGAATACCAACTCCAAGGGTGGAATGCATTTTTGAGTAAAAATAATGATTGATGTTAAAAGAGTTTAATTTTAAAGGAAAAACAATTAATACAATTTGACAGCACACACAGAAAGAGAAAATTACCATTACATAGATACTACCAATATATTTATAATTTTGCTATCTGTTTAACAATTTAAATAAGAAACGCAATTAATATTCTAATGAATCTAATAATATAATACTGTAATAGATTCTATATTGACAGTATAATTGATAACAGGATCAAAAATGCTATACATAGTATGTGCTTACAATATTTTAATAAATATTAAAACAAAAGTTGTATCAAATATTTTTTTTAGATTTATAAATACTTTATATATTTTAAATTCACACACACACAAAAGAAAAAAAATTCTATTAAAATATAATTATATCATATAAATCAACAATTAAATATTAAAAAAATTAGAATTTATATCAGATGCAAAATATTTGTTAACTATTATAACTTGTAAGTTATAATATAATATATCTCTTTATTCATACAATATATGAATAAAGAATTAAAAATAAAGAAAAAATAAATATATATCTGCAAAAATAAATCTTTATCTTTTACTTACTATATATTACTTATTGATCTTTTTTTTTTATATTTTTTGAAAATATTTTTTTATATTGCACAAATATGACAAATAGAGTATCAATAATAAATGTACTCATTACTTTAGTGATATACATAATTTACATAATTAATTATATTATATATTTTTTATAATTTTATCTGTTAAATTATATTCAATAATTATAAATATTAAATTTATAAGGAATAATATTATAGTTAATTATTTAAAAATATGAATTATGTAATAAAATAATTCATTGCATAAGAATAAATTTTTGATATTTCTTTGTAAACATTTATATATATGTATAAATATGCACACATATATATGTATGTATATGTATATACATTTCAGAAAGACATAGATTTAGAAATATTTAGAAAAAATATGTGATATTTACTATAAAAATATTTTCATCATTAAATAGTATATAATAAATAATTGATCTATTAAAAATATTATATATATGTTATAAGAAGTAATGATTTGTTAAAAAGATAAACAATGTACCTTCATATTCAGATTAATATCTACAGAAATATTTGTTATATCTTAATATTTTTATTTTAAGTTAATATATTTTATATACGAAATAGAAGATATATCTAGAAGATATATTTATTTTGTAAGTAAAAATATTTAAAGATATTAAAAAAATGAAAATCAAAATTTGAGCATCAAACTTGTAAGAAATACAAATTTGATAATATATTTGTACTTGTAAGTTTTATACTACTAAAAATTGTATTTTGAATTGTACTAAAATTATTAAATAATATATTTAAATAATATTAGCTCTACTTAAGAGCTATTAGAATGTCAAGTATGTGTATGATATTGTGATTTTGTATTAATGCAACAACAGAGAGAATATAATTGATGTGAATATGGAAATGTGAATGAACCTTTGATTCTCCTTTCAATGGCCATTTCAAGTTCTGCTTCTTTTTTCTGTGCTTCTGGACTTGGTTTTGGAGCAGCAGGAAATGTTACCAAAACTATACTCATGTTATCTCTGCTACCCTGCAACAAATAAAAATGAATCTGACAAAATATTTTTAGTTGTTAATAAAAAAAAATAGAATTTACAATTTAATTAATATTATTTATAAATTTGATAATTATTAAATACATGATTGATATTATATTATTTAATATATTATTAATCATAAATATAATTACAACTATTCAATAAATATATAAAAAAGAAATAGCACATAACATAATATATAAATAGATAATATTATATAAATAAAAAATAAAATAAAATATGTAAATAAAAATAAAATGTTATGTAAAACTTAACATATTAAGTAATTGTAGCTAAAAATTTATGAAATGAATTATTCAATATATAAATTTAATTATATTAATATGAAAAATAATTATTTTTTTGAAATCATTTATTTATCATATTATTATTATTAAATACTAAAATTAAAATTAAAATTTTTGAAATAAATAAAAATAAAAATAAAATAAAAATATATTTTTTAAAAATTTATATATTTATACTGACATATCTTTAGTAGTAAAAATTTATTATAAAAAAATATACATAGAAAGTTTTAGATATCATTACCTTATACAGACAGGTATCTATGACCTGGTTCGTAACTGCTTCTAGATCATCTGTAAGCAACAGCCTTGAATGTATAAAATTACATAGATCTTCGTTGTTCATAACATCCCAAATACCATCACATGCTAAAACTAGAAATTCATCATGTTCATCGTCTCTATCTCGAACAAATATTTCTGGTTCTGGAGACACTAACTGTTCACAGGGGCCTCTATCTTTCAAATTTTTGTACTCATAATCTCCCAATGCACGAGATACAGCTAAAGCTCCATTAACTCTTTGAATCATTACACTACCACCAGCATTTTGAATTCTTTCTTTTTCAGCAGGTAAGACAGGTTTGTGATCTCTTGTTGAGAAAACTGGATCTCCTGCTCGACAAAGTACAGCTCGAGAATCGCCACAGTTAGCAATATATATGTTTCTGGGAGATATAAATGCACAAACTGCTGTAGAACCAGATTTTTCTGTTCCAGAACTCATTTCTGGTAATTCTCTCATTTCATCATCAAGTCGAAGAAAGCCAGAATGTATTCCTTTGGTAACATCTTCTGCTTTAAACTCTTCTGTTTGCATTATACATTCTAACAAATGTTCTGCACTATGAGCTGATACTAATGCACCAGCATGACCATCAAATACTGCAAAATAACTCCAATCTGAGAGACCGCCTTTTAAACCAGTTATTGCTCTATGAGCATCTTCCATTTCCATTCTCCATCCTTGCATACTGGCAACACCATAATGTAGTCCATTGCCAGAACCATGTTCATTGTATTTTTCTGTTTTTGGAGTATCCAAAAGTGCCCCCATAGTATTTATTTAGTAATTGCTATATCAGCTCAATCAATTTGTTTTTCTTTTTGGATATTATTTGATCAGCATCTTTTAACTGATCATTCAAATGACACTTTTTAAAGTTTTACCTAAAATTAAAATAAAAAAGATAAAGAAATCTTTAGTTTCTTATAGAGAATTAAGATTAAATATTTTTAGATAAAAATTTAAATTGGAAGCAAAAAAATAATATCACATTTAACTTATTGTATATATTATAATATTACTTAGAATTTCTCTTCTGATTATCGTTTTATAACATAAATTTATCACAATACTATTTTGTGTTATAATTATAATTTTAATTTAAGCAAAGAAAGAAAATAATTAAAACACAACATTATTCCAATATTTAACGTAACGTACAAGATAATCTCAACATACAAATATTTCAAACGAAACACGGTAACGTTTACATAAATGAAACATTCGAATTATATGCAACTATGTTCACTATATAATAATTATAGTAGCCTTATCAATGTTGTAAATTAATTGAATACAGAAATGGAATATTTCACGAGCGTAAGCTGTATCAGATTCTAATAAGAAATTATTTGGCAATGCCAAATTTTGCGACTAAAATAGTTTATACCTCAGTCTGCATATTCGTGAAACTTACGTAGGAAGATCGTGACCAAATATCATCGTTATTTCGCGAAAGTATATATGTGTAGAGCGTGGTATTGCTAATAGACTTGTTTCATATCACTATCACCATGTTCTTTTGCTAGGCTCAACACACAGAACCAACGAAATCGACTTGCATGAATGACGGATATACACTAGGTAATTTTCTGCGCATGCGTCAGTTATTAATAGTATGCTTTGTGGCGTCATAATCCGCCAATCAAAAGCCTACGATTTCCGCTCAAGCCTGGGTAATCATATAGGATCCTGAAGTAAAATTAACTCGCGCGCGATACTAGCATTAACTCTCACTAACAAGTATATAAACAAAAACATGAAGTTTTTGTCGATAATAAATTATACTGTCACTGATTACTGCGTTTATCAATATTGTTATAGTCAATAAACGCAGCTTATTTAAATTTCGAAATTTTATAAACATATGTATATAGTTTATTTTTTGAAATATATTTTAACGAATTTTTATTGGCTTAATTATAATATCAGAAATTTTATATAAAAAATTATATTTTATAATTAAAATATTCATTATTTAATTAATATAATTTTAATTTTTATTACATAAAATTATCTATATATTATATAAATGTAGATAATATATAGATATAAAAATTATCTAAATATCATAGATATAAAATATATTATAAAATTTTAAAAATTATTATTGTTTTTATATAAATGATTTATTTTAATGAATTTTTTTTAAAATAAATTATTTGAATTTGTTTCAAGAAAAAATTCCCTTGCTATTTATAAAAAAATAGATCTTATATTCATGAAATGTTACTATGTAATCGTATATTTTTATAATAAAAATGGCGGGTAATAATACTTTAATTTGATATCTTGTGATATGAAAATAAATATTATAAAATAATATAGAAAATATTGTATTATTTACATATATTTAAATTATACAAATTATATAAATGAAATCTTTTTTAAATATTTTAATATACTTTATAAAATTGTATTGAAAATTATATTGAATATTTGAATATAAATGTAGACATGTAATATAATTTATAATAAATTCTTGTATAATTTATAATAAATTAAATAAATTCTTATATGTTAATATTTATATATTTTATATATTACATACTATATAATTAATTTTTATACATTCCTAACATAATTAATAAATGTTAATTGCGTAAAATATAAAAATAAAATATATTTTTTTATAACTTTAATAAATAACAATATTTATAATATTCTTTTAAAAAATAAAATAAAATATATTTTACATTTTTATAATAATAATTTTTACTTATATATAAGAATTATAAATATTTAATACATATTTTTATAAAAGTTTTTAATTTATTATGATTTTAAGATAAAAAATAATTTTTTAAATAAATTTGTTATAATAAAATGCTGTTAAAATAAATAAAATTAAATATAATGATGAAAATGGATTTTCTATATACTTTATATACATAATAAACAATTTATATTTAACTATTTTACATTTGTTACAAAGCCAAGGTCTCTAGGAATCATATATTGTTTAACTATTTCATCAGTTAATTTACTTCTAGCTTCTTGATGTGCAGCTATCAAAGGCTGTAATATATTAATTAATTCTTTTTTAAGTTCTCCTGTTAAAATTTCTCCACTAGTATAATCCTGAAAATTTACATATTATTAATATTATATATATTTATATAACATAAAATTAAAAAATACATTTTCATTTTTAATTTCAAAATTTTACTTTTCTAAGCTGTTCTAATTTTTCGTCATCATCTAGAAAGAATCGTAACCATTGATATGCTATATCAATATTACAATTGCCACCTAATTGTCTATGTTCTTCAACAGTAGCTTGTCCACCTGAGAATGCATGTTTATTAACTTTGTTTTTTATTTGTTTAGCAGTATCTGTCAGAAATATTGCAGTATTATTATTACTAGCAGACATTTTTGTTTTAGATCCTTGTAAAGCAGGGAAGAATATAGAATGTAACAAAGCTGGTTTTGGATAGCCAATTTTTGGTGCAATATCTCTTGTCATTCTGAAATAAGGATCTTGATCTATAGCACATGGTATTAAACAATTAACTTTTGCATCTTTAAAAATAAAAGGAAAAGTTCCAGAAATTGCTGGAGCAGCTTGAGTTGGTGGAAATGAAATTTTTCCAATAGGATCACTGTCTCCAAATCCAAAAATACCTTTTACTTGATTAAATGTAATACTTCTCTGTATTCTAATCATGTTTTGATAAAATGCAGGATTATTTCCAATATGTTCTAAATTAGAAAAAATAAATGTATTCTCTGGTTTAAATCCAAGAGCAATAATATCTTTTGCATTATTATAAGATAATTTAATTGCATCTTCTATTTTTATGTTTTTCCATATTGCTTTTTCATCATCAGTCAATTGAATAACTAAAGGAACATGAAATACATCTTGCAACCATTTACAAAACATAAATGGTATGAGATGTCCTAAATGCATAGAATCTGAACTAGGTCCTCTACCAGTATAAAGATAAAATGGTTTTCCTTGTTCATAAAGATTTAAAATAGTATTCATATCTCGATGAGAAAAGAATATTCCTCTTCTAAGAAAATGATGTGGTTTATGTCCAGTAATTTTCTCAAATCTAGCCAATAATTCTTCATCGATTTTTGAACTTCCAAACTTTTCTGTATAATAAATAGAAATTTTATAGAAAAAAGAATTTATGAGTTATTATATATATTTAAATATATTTATCATATAAATTTTATCTTTATTTTCTCTTGAAAAATGCGAAAGATTTATAAACTATGAAATTAAATTAATAAAGTAGCAATAATTTTATTTTTTCATAAAAATATTTTTTAAGGCTTTCACATAAAAGATATTTTTAGTGAAACTTACTAATAAGTTTATCGTAATCAATTCCGGTTTCATTTTTGGTTACAACATCCCAAGGTGTTACAATATCATCCTCATCCGTTTTTCCATTTAACATTGATATATCAATTTCATCTTTTTGTGTTGTCATTTTTTTTTAAATTTTAATCACTTTTTGTACAATTAAACAAAGATTTCTAAGATTTTTAGAAAATTGTGTCATATGCTATATAAATATGGTTAGAAATCAAGAAGGTTATGTCAGTACCTATACGATGGGATATGATTTCTGCGCACGCATTTACATTTTCAAGGTAGAATTTTCATTAATTTTATATTTTTTTTTAGATATGCAAACGTATTATAAATGTATTATATATTTATAATTTTAAAATAAATTTATGTATTAATTATCGTATTTTTAATATTTAAATTATTTAACAAATTGTAAAAATATATAATAAATCGTATTTGAAATACCTGTAACGTCACCTCCGATAATAATTGAGATAATTGCATTGCGATTCGTTTTATTTTCAAATTATTTACTAAGAATTTTTAATAAAACTATTTATTATTTTTACAAGTTTTTTATTATTTCAAAATTTAAGATTAAATTATAAATTATTATTTCAAATGATTTTTATCTAATCAATATGTTAAATATATCTTTTTATATATATATATAAAAACATATACTTTATATATTTATTATATGTTTAGTAGTATAAATAAATTAAGAAATAACTAAGTATTGTGAAAAGAAAGTATAATAGAAATGTATATAAAATGTATATATAATAGAGACAAATTTAAAGAGTAAATTAGTATAATTAGTAGTTTATGATTTTTGTTAAATTATTCATTCAAAATTAATTTTTGTATAAAAAATCATTTTATGAAATTATATTATTGTATTATAGTATTATAGTTGCTGATAGATAAATTGAATATTACAGAATAAAAATTTTTATCAAATAGACAATAATAATATATCGATAATATATATTCTTTTTTAAATCAAATAGCAGAATAGTTTCACGTAAATTTACAATTCTGTTTTTATTTGAATATATTTCTATATTTACAAAGAACGATAAAATATTATTTCATAAAAATATATCAATGCCTCTCATTTTGACAAATGTTCTTTTATTTGTACAGAATCTTGAGTACTATAGAGCGCTATTAATCTATAACTTAAAATAGAGCACATAAAACGAATTAAGATTTTCATTCGTTTGTTCCTCCATAATTTACACAAATGGAAGACATTTTATGGAACGAATCATATTTAAGGAATTAAAGCTATGAAATTTGTTTTTATTATTATTTATATAATTAAAAAAATGATTGTACATCATTTACAGTCATTAATATAATGAAACATTAATATTTATTTTTAGAAAATTCTTTGAATTGTATTGAAAAAAAAATTTAAATTCAGATATTTATTGAATGTAATAAATTTATACAAAGTAAATAAACAAGTTTAGGATAGAATTCGTAGAAATGAAATACGATAAATTTATGAATTATAAAACTTCATAAATTTATAAATCATAATTTTCTTTTTAGAAATTTTAATTCTTATTTATTTTACAAATGTAAAACAATTAGAGCATTCAGTTTTTATATGATTTAAAATTTATATTTATAATTAGAAATTACTGAAAATTATGAATATTTATAGAAATATAAAATTAATTTATATTGATTGTAGTAAAAATTGAATTCATGCTGTTAAATTAGTTTACCTTTAATTTTTATAAACATTTTTATCATCATACATATTTTTATTATTAATTGAATTGAAAAATAAAAATTCTATAAGATCAATAATATGAGACACATTTAAATAAATGTAGGATTTTAAAAAATTATATGATAAAAATAATTTTATTTCACAGAGAATCTTTTTATGAACTTATATGTGTATAAAAGTAGTTTTCAATATTTAATTGGCTGTGAATGGTTGAAAGAATAATTTGAATCCCAAGATAGTTTTGTTTTTCCTTTTTTTTTTTAAGTCTGAAGTAGCGAAGCGATTTTTATAACAATATGGTGTAAAAATAAAAAATTTCAATAAAGACATTTAAAAATCAATTCAAGTATCAATTAAACTATGATTAGACTACGAGACATTGTAAAAGAATACAATTAATTAAGTTAAAAATTTTCTATCGTATAAATATAAGCTAATTATAAGTTATCTAACTAATCATAAATCAAGGACATTCACGTTAGAGTTCGTATATCGAAAATGTTTGGTCCTTACGTTCCTTCTACTGTACAATTTTCTTAAATAAATTACATTTTGTATTCGATCTAAAATGATTTTTGCTTGTTGCCTCATCTTGTGTTATGTGATCAGTTGAAACAATGATTCTTTCATTTTTTGTTAGAATATTCATATTCTTTGAATACTATTACAGATTAATTTTCAGAATAACATTCATTCATAATTCTAACAATATTCATTTTATCGTATATTTGTTTTTAAAATGCCGATTATTATTTAGAATTTTAAAAGAAATGGAACGAGATTGATTAGATTTATTTTCCTATAATAAACGATTATTCATCATTTCATGAACTATTAAGTTATATGTATTAAATTAATTAAAATTGGATATGATTAAGTAATCGGTCATTATTAATCGGTCGAAAGAGAATTATGAAGTGTAACTTAAATGATATGAGCCGGGCAGATTTCGTTGATTGTAAGGACAAAAACTATCCATCAACATTTTATCATATATTTTATGAAAAACCTTGTTCGCCAGCAAATTATCAACTATAATCAGGTACACAAACGGCAATATATGTAGTTCATAGTTTACTGTCTTATTTCAATTCTTTAGAGGAGAACGAAAATTATTTGAATCTTGCGTAATTCGCTTGGCACAATGATAACGTTTAAAATAACGTTGAAATATATTTAAATATCGGCCAAGTCAACCGTAATTAGTGAGACAAAATTTGATAAATATAATTGATATAAGATTTAAAGAATATCTATAGATACAAATCCAGCTATCGTTGCTTTCTTAATAGCGATTTTCAGTAGATTAATTCATTATCAATATATTTTTCGTAATCATTCTTCTCTTGATATTTTACGCTTTGAACATCTTAATTTATACTAACATAAATATTTCAATGTGAATCGTGTAATATATTACAAATTTATAACGATTTTAATTCTAAGACTCCTTCTAGATTAATATTAAATTATTGTATTATTTTTATAGAGTAAAATAGTTTTTTTCATAAATTCTTAAATTCTTTGTCCTTTAAAGAAATATTTTGATCAAACGATCTTTAGGAGTCAAAGGATTAATCATCGTCAAATAATTATAGAATTTCCTCTCTCACGTGATCGTTCTATGATCCCGTTAAAGACACGTCGTACTATCACAGTCCAACTTGAAAGTTCGATTCCATTGTTTCACAATAATCTACATTTCAGTACGCCTTTTTTAAAAGATAGACAGAATAATTTTATCAGCAGGCATCGAGCTATTATAAAAATACAGACGTGTAATCGCATCATTATACAACATGATACATCATAAAAATTCTTGTTCGATGAACAGATAACATTGCAATCGAAAGACAATGCTAACTAACGATGTTTAATTTTATTTCACAATGTCCATCTAAAGTCTAAATAAACGAACAATCATTTTGTTCATCAACTGATTCAAAAGATAAATCTATACCCTTTTACGATAAATCTATACTCTTACGCCGACACCATTGTCACTTTTTATTTCTGAAACAAGTTCGAATGTAGGAGAACAAATTTCAGTGGGTGTTGGTGTGGCAAGCGGAGCTAAATGCGAATTCTTAATAGACATATCTTTCAGAATGTAATCCGCTCCAGGTTTGATACGTAATCTATTTCGATGTAACGAGGGTTCTAATCGTAAGATCGTGCACGATTTCATCGAGAGGCATCTATTTCGAAACATAGACTCTGTAGACTTGCTTTGTAAATCGGCCTCGATCGTTGATTTTTTCAAATTGATCGTTGATTTGGAATCATATGGGGATAAATTGTGTGTTTCAGAGTCTGATGTGAAATTGGATTCATCTTCGAACGATGTGAAAATCTCTGAATCAGGTACAGATGGGGCGCTGAAAAAGGATTCGCGTAACGATGATGTTAGTGCATCTGGACACATGAATGGATCCAGGGATGTCAGATCATTTAGGTCACTGCCGCTGTTGCAAACCTGAAAATTGTTCACCGAATAGGATGAAGGAAATGTCTGATGTTCAGTAATTACGTTGGATAGAATTTCTTGACTTCTCGATGATTCTGACCATTTCGAATCCGAAGGTCTTCTCGAACTAAATCTCGTGGAATCGTGTTCAGCGAAGATTGGCTCTGGTAATCTTCCTTCTCGACACTTTTCCGAATTTTTCAACAAAGCCTCGAACAGATCTATAGGTTCTATCGATGCCATTTGATCTGACGATGCCAGATTATTGAAGGAACTATCGTGACTAGATTTGTTCGATTTGTGATTTTCACTATAATCTTCGATATTCAACAAGACGGATGGTATCACAGGATCTGAATGTCTAACTGGACTTCTTCTATTACCCATTGGAGATTTCAAATAATCGATATTAATGGAAGGCTTCGATTCGGTATTTTTCACGTCCTCTTCTTGCAGAGAGGCAAGAGGAAGTGGATCTATGGGACTTGGTGGTTCCGAATGTACCGTAGGTACTGCAAGAGTTTCCATAATTTTATAAGGTTCTAACAATCGGACGTGTGTCATTGGTTCTATCGTATTGATCGATTCGGAATGTTTCAGTATTTCCATATTTCTTTGGATTTGTAATACTCTGGAAATTGAATCTGTTCTGGATTCCAAGTTTCTCGAAGTCATATGATCTTGATGAACAAGATTGGCTAGTTTATTGGAAGTAATTGTCATATGTTTTGGCGACATTCTTTGTCTTGGACTGTCTAATGAACTCGACCTGGTACTATCCGGTATGGATAGCGATGTACAACTGTTTTGCAGCCTTAAATTTAAATTTGGACTGTTTCGATCGTAATTATTGATCTTCATCCGTGGACGCGGATAGATTTGGAACCGTTTTTGATTCTCCAATTGGCGAGACAGCATAATATGCTTAGCTAATCCTCCATCGTATCTATTATGATCTAAATTTTGTACAGAATATCTATGAGCCTCATTCACGTTTTCATCGGTTGGAAGTCGAAGATTCACCTCGGAAGAGATTCCTATTGCTGCTTTAATATTTGGATCCGATACAGAACAGAGATTCGAGTTTCTTCTTTTGTTGTTAATAGGACTGAGGCCGACGTTGAAATCTTTTACATGTATAGTCGGACTGTCAGCACTGAGCATAGGATCCGACATGGTATTCATTTGCAATACTTTAGGATTTAACGTGCCATCGCTCTTTAAATTTTGATACGAGATGAATTTTGGTTCCGATGCTTTCGAGAAGTTTTTACTAGCGAGCTTCTTGTGATTCAATCTTCTCAGATGTCTGATCTTGTTGAACGTTGGATCTAACAAATATTTGAGGTTTTTAATCTTGTCGATGTTGTGATTCGAGTCGATCATGTGATTACGATCGATGATATACTTTAGATCGAGCATCATCGTGAGATCATGGATATTTTCCTCGATGATATCTTCTTGTCTATTCTCCGAAGAAGTGTGATCAATATTTCTTTCCGGTGAGATGTCCGTGTGTTTCCCAGACACATCTAGACATCGTCTGCTGGTATACAGAGTGCTGTTTTGCTTCACTGCAAAACAATCTTCGACAGGATGCCTTCTGCCTTCGTTACTATTGTTCACCTCTGCTAATTCCATATTCGTATTGGAACCACGTCTCATTGGGGAGCAACCGTAACGGCTGGGCGTCACTCCAAACAGAGCAACCAATTCTTCGGTAATTTTACCTGCAGCAACTCTCATCTCACCATGATGGAAAGCATAAATCCATGGGTTCACGCCACTATGCGCCATTATAGGCAAACCAAGCCATACGACCGCCCATTCGGTGAGGATCTTGGTACCGCAAAAAATATCTAGCAGCATACAAGTCTGTAAGCAAATTTATCTTGTGTTAAGAAGATATTTTGTCTCCATTTCAATTTTATGAAAAAGTAATATTTCATATCTTTCAAAGCTTCGTGAATAAGCTTCTAATGATTCTACTTTAAATTTTGTTAAAACTGAATGCTCGTATAATTTCTGTCCTTTTTTTCAGAGTTACTGAGAATACAGAGATACAGAATCAATTTCTGAAGTTTTAATGATGTTTAAGTTAAAATGAAAGGAAATATCGTAGTGAATATATCACAGAGAGATGTAAGATCAAAACGCATTGAAGAAAGTTTAGAAAGTTTCATCGTTAACTTGGCAGATATACATATGTTCCTTTTGTTCAATTTATCCACGTGGATATATTAATTTATTCGCAGTACGTTCGAACTATATAATTATGATCTCCGTTTCTGGATAGGTAGTATAAATGTAGATTAAAATTATTTGTTATCATCTTCATTTCACTCATAAAAATTTAATAAAAAATAACGATAGAAAATTTCCAATTTTGAATTTCGTATCAACAATTTTAAAGATTTAAGAAATTTTATAACAATTTATTATCACTCATTGCAAATATTGTAAATTCATTGTAATTGAATGGATAAAAATTTTCATTATCTTTTATTGAATATTTTATCTTAATTTATACAATTTTACGATACAGGTATAGAAAATTTATTATCAAATTTTGTTCTATCTTTTAATTTCCATGTTTTTTTTTTTTTTTTTTAATTAAACATTATTTCCCATTCCAATGGCAAATCAAATGTCACGAAGTAATGAAATTTTATAGGAATTTATCACAGAATTTTATTTAATTGATTTATTCCACGTGACCATGAAGGGTGGTTTCGTGTATTTGTATTTGTTTATTTTATGATATAAAATTGTTTCTGTAATTATCAGTTCAGTCGGAGTTACTTTTTTTTTTTACAACAGCAAAAAAGAGAGAACTTGAATGAGAAGTTTTTCCTGAATTCAACTTCTTCACGGTTGGAAAGAATCCATTTCCGCAACTTCTTCGCTGCAACAATTTACGAAAGTTACGATCGTTTTTCACCTTTCTTTTCCGTAAAATTTTTGCTCGTGAGAATGGAGATTGACGAGAAACCTTATTATCACATCATTCAATCGATTAATCGATCAGTGATTTCGATCCAAGACAAATTAGCTAAATTCTTTAATATTGAAAGGAATGAAATGTCAATATTGTAATGAAATTTACGAAGAAAAATATTTTATATTCACAGTTTGGATATTTTCGATTTCAAACGTAAAGTTTCATTTCATATATAAAAAATTAAAAATTTGATTTTTTGGGCTTGCACGCAGATTTTAAATTCGATTTAAAAGAGACGATATTTTTTAATAAGATTAAAATTAAAAGGATTAAACGTTTAAAGAATGTAACAAGTACGCGTAACACTTTGTTTTAATACTAATTTTATTACCTTTTCTATTACGTAGTGGAATCTTCATCGTAAGATCGTTGCTCGTGTCATCTATAACTTTTCATATTAGTTTAAAACTGGCTATCTCGTTTCAGAACTTTCCACCTTTCATATTCAACTTTGTGAAGCGCTTATTAAATTTTTTACATTGGCCATGTTACATGTATTTTTCTTGAGTATGGATATTTCAAGCAATATTTCACAATTTTCGAATAAACTATGCATTACACATTCTAATTGAAAATTATTTTTTTCTCGAGTAGTCGGAATCGGATATAAGTAATAAAAGTAGTATAATGAAAAACAAAATAAAATTTTTTTCCCCAACAACGATACTTTGATTCCTTTTAAATGAAATTACGCATTTCTGTCTCCACTGCATTAAGGAAAAATAAATCTTGATGTACAAAAACTCTTTTTATTTTTCTTTTCCCATCCCAAGAAATAAAACTCTGTATTTTAATATGCACGCTACGCGCCAGTCTTAAATTTTGCAACAGAGATCGGTGCAACTGCGTGTTCCTTGTAGACAAAGTAGAATTGATGTCGCGTAATTCCGACACGTGCAAGTAGTACAACCGTAATAATAGTCGAGCGTGGAGCGTAACACGCTCGGTGAAAGGATGTTAATTTGTAAGAATTTACGGGATATACCGTGCTGGATTATTCGATTATAAATTGAGATTTATACAGTGATCGTGTGTCTATTCATTGGGGGAAATTATAATATATATACTCACTTGAAAGGGAAGCCAGAGAATGAGAAACGCGCCGACCGTGACTGCCAATGTTTGGCCGTAACGCGGCAATGCCAAGGTCTGCGTTTGATGCCTGAATGACAATTCTACCGTATAAATCGCACGTGCGTGTGCACGTGCCACCAGATACACGTACATGTAGCAACCGAGAAGAACGAGAGCACTGGGTGCCCACACTGCCACCACCAGGAACACCCTTACTGGTGGGAGAACCGCTGCGCCGAATCTGCAGTTGCCACTGTGATAGAAAGCAAATTGATTTCACTCGTTAGCTAATCGTTGTGTAACCGTGGGGGTGATTCGAATATCGACTGATTGACTCTGTTGATGTTTGCTAATTTACACGTGTGTCAGGTGAGAAGAAAGGGTGAGGAGAATTTGTTGATCTCAATGAATGTTGGAGAAGTATAATATTATCGCTTATTAACTCGATTTTGAATTAAAATTTCAATACGATAAATAATAATATGAATTTCCTTTTATCAATAATTAATTGTTTATACTTAAGAAAATTAAATTCTTTGTTTTATGATTTGGAAGTTATAATTGTTTTTGTAATAGAATGTTCTTCTTGAAAACAACGATTCCTATTATTTTAAAATTTTTGTCCATTCTTGAAATGATTTTTTCTTATCTCTATATCCTTTGATTAAATAATTTATTTTCGGTTAAAAAAAATCAACGGGGTTATGTAAACTTTGTAGATATATTTGTAGCCTGATGTTTAATGGATACAAAGAGATTAGATTGCTTTTATTATATTTATATATATAAAGTAAACAAAACACGAGGCGAAGTTAAAATAACGTAACTTCATGTATCTATTGAATAACTATGCGTAATTTATCTTGGAATTTGTGAAATTTTAACAAACGATGAAAACATTATTTGCGTTTTGTATCATAATCCTATTATGAATCAGAGATTCAATTCAAAGTTTCACGTTATAAAAGAAAACGCGATAAGTTCAAATTAAATTTATCGCAAGATGCAATTTCTACGATATCTGGTATTTCTTTTTACAAATTTTTCTATATTAAATTGCATACCGTAAATTCTGTGAAACGAAAACGCAAAACGAAATGGAAATCTGTCGAAGTATGCGTACATTCCTAACGAATTTTATCGAATTTTCACGAAACACGGAGAAAAAAGTTACGTTTAGGAAATTAGTTACGTTTGTTTACAAGAACAGAAACCGACTTCGCTGATTTTTCTTTTTCATTTCGCGTGAAGTCTCGATGGAACACGCGATTGTATTTCCTAGTTTGGTTCTACTGTTCGTTCGTTTCGTTCTTATTTGAGAAACGTGACTAGCGAACAATTTTAACAATTTTCGAAACGTTTATCCAATAAATTCCAATTGTTATGCGAAATTAGGAAAAAATTTATAACACGGCTATTTTAATTTAATAATACTCTTCTTACAGGAAATTCCGATCACACATTGAAATAACAGATAAAACGAATAAAATTTCATCAAAATCTCAAAACTGGAATTTAGAAATATTTCGAAGGAATAAACGAAGAGATAAATTACCACGAAACGTTTTATAAGAATAAGATGATTTTCTCGATACTTAACTCAAATAACATTCCGTCACGATAGATACTATAATAATTTCTTAAATTTTCCTTATCTTACATGAAGAGAGGAGAAGATCACAGGCTATTATAAAAGATGGCTGGAAACACTGCCTTAAAATCAATCACAAAGTCCATAGATTGATTCGTAAGATTCGATTAAAAGATAAATCGATAAAAATCCAAAGAGAATTGACACAAGATCTTTTCTTACCCGTGCAATTGAACGCCCACTATTTTCACGTAGATCAAAGGCGAGAGGCCGACAGCGATCGCGTAGATCCAAAACACGGCGATGTACTTCTCGATGCTGCTGTGAGTGATGATGTTCTTGTACCTGAGAGGTTGTGCAAGCGACGTTAATCGGTCGACGGCAATCGCCACAGTTACCAGCACGCTTACGCTGCATAGCGCAATCACGATGCAATATGGCACGATGCACAACGTGGAAACGCCATTTTCCGGCAGACCGGACAACTCGAGCTGCATCCCAAAGGGCATGAATACACCGACCTGCAAATAATATCGGATTTAGGTATGTCGGTGAATTAGAAACGAGAAACGCCTCGACTTGGAAAACTTTATATATAAACAACAGACAATTCGGCAAAGCTTTACGATAATGTATTATATGTATTTAATAACGTATTATATCGTATATTTCAAACTATTCCATATCCGTGTTATATGGATTTTCGGTCGAGGCGTTAGCTGCACGAAGGTTCAAAGTTATATTGATCGTGTGAATATTGCGATCATAAAGCAAATCGATTCGAGTTGTATATATATATATATATATATTGGATAATAGCGAGGTATGCTTTACTTTGGGTAATTAATCGGCTATAGAATGTGTACAAAGTGCTTCCAAGTTGAACGATCAAATTGTTCTGATGGAGTTTACGATCAAGTGTAAGGTACAATGTTGTATCAATACAAGTTTCATCGGTGGTGGTTCAGAGTGACCTGAATCTTTTATTAAAGCATCTATATAATGTTTAAGATTAATATTTACGTTATATTCATATCACAAAAGAAATGATTCTTGTCAATCTTCTTTCAAGAAAAATGGAAAAATATTTTGACAATTTTAATTTTTTATTTGGATAGATTAAAATTTTGTTTATTGAGATATTTGAATATTAAAAATTGTCCATGTATCGTAAAATCATGAAATTGTGTTATTATCTCCTAATTGAAATTAAACAAAGGTTCATTTTTTTCTTTTTTTTTTTTGAACTCTTAATCGTTAGCGTTCGTATTTATCGCACATAAATATAGTATATAGATATAATAGATAGATACTGTTTGATCGATTAATTTGGGGCAACCGTATGTACTTGGAGTGAAACGTGTCAACATCAATCGCGATGGAAGGACTATCGCACCGAGTTGTGCACCGAGAGCGGGGCCCTCGTCCCGTTTTCTGATTGATTAGCTGACTAATTAAAATATCCTGTTAGACCATCAATCTCGAGAAACAATGGGCAGCACTTCGATGCTGATATCTCCTTTTGTCATGGATTCTAATAAAACTTCGGATCTCGCGATATACCATAATAATTCCTTAACTCCCTACTTTCAACGTAATCGAGTCCAAATATTTTTTCCCCTTTTACCATTTACCACTGAAAAAGAGATAAGAAACATAATTTAAACGCATCACGATATCGTCGCAAGGAGAATTGATCGAAAGCTTACCCCGAAGTCGCTGACGGCCAAAGAGACTAGCAGGTAATTGGACGCAGTCCTCAGTCTCTTGTACCTATAGAAGGCGGCCAGGATAATGGAGTTTCCGGTGACGGTGATCGGTGATAAAATGCAGACTATCGACACTGCCAAAACCACCGAGATGGGACTGACGTCCAGCCGCGTATCGATCTTGGTAACCGTCGGTATAAGAGCGGTCGTCAATTCCCCGGAAACGGTGGACGGAAGCGGGTCCGTTGCGGGCGTTGACATTGTAATTTAAAAAGCTGTTCCCAAACCTGTTCCCCTCGTCTCTCTGCGTCTTCAAGTAAGATTCCGCTCGTAAACGTGACCCTCGTAGGACGACATGGCGCATCCGCCAGGCCACGTCGATGGAAATTTTTCGTGAAAAATCTTCACTTGATCGATAGCAACCTCGTATTTCCGCCGCGTCTCACCGCGCGGAGGCGTTCTGAAAATTTGAGATACGAAGATAATATTAGTTAAAAGTTTGTCCTAGATCCTCCATCTTTGACATTTTAATTTCGCGCATCGTGCATGCTCGGTGTACATCGGGCAGGTGTAAATTAAATTCATAGGTTTGTAGGGTAAAGATGAATTTGTAACAAGATGGTGAATGAATGTAAATAACACAAGTTGAAAATTAAATAAATTTATTTCTCTTTTATTATATCTTTTCAGTTCAACTTGTCTCGAAAGAATCAAAACTTTCAAATTTGATTTTCTCGAAAACGAAGGAAAAGAAATTCATTTTGCGCGTAGAAGACGTAAAATTTCTTGATCGTATTATATTGGGATACTCGTATATTAGATATAATTTGTTCAACAAAATGTTCGATTTAAAATTTTTCTTTTCATTTTCTCTATTTATTTTCGCCAGAAAAATATTAAAATAATATTCATCTTTATCTTACGAAACTTTATGCGACGAAAATTCGGAAGCTCTTTCAGCTCTCCTGAGATAAAACAGAAACGATCAATTTTACTAACCTTTCGTGCTTCTACAAGAATCGTCCGAAGCCATGGTAAAAGTTCGACATCCGCTGTCGAAGTAGAATCGTCGTTACTTCAAATCGCGTGATTTAAACCGCTGGAGATAAATTCGTCGTGAAATCAGCATTGGGACAATGTTCTTGATCGGGAATGGAGGCCGGAAATTACTCGATTTCGGTAATATACAGCCTTGGCCCGTTTCCCTCTCTCACCATTTGCTTTCGACTTTTTCGATTTACAATCCACTTTCCCTTCCAACTTCCTGAAGATAAACATTCACGATTATTTTTAAACAGGAATTTTACTTGATAAGTAAGTAAAATGATCAATTCTATTGAATCTAATTTGATTTTCTTCAAAAATTGAAAATAAAAATTGGGAATTTTTAAAAAATTGAAATCGAAAATATTACAAAATATTGAAGTTCTTCTCATAAGAATTCTATGTATTTCTATGTATTTGATAAATACATGAATAAACGAGGATAATCGTTACATTAGAAGGTAAAAATATCTAATCGAATATATTAGTATTAACAATGAGTAAAATATTAATTATTAACAATGAATCGATCATTTATTTGGTCCTTCTTAATTTTACAAATAATTTGGTCATTTTTATCCGACTGTATTTTTTCATGTTCGTTGGATATTTTACCAATCGATTACTGCCTTCCTCCTTTTCAATCCTTCAATATTCGTTTTAAATAATAAATTCATTCATTTCTTTAGGATGATCGAAAAAAGAATTACACAAAGAGAATATAAAAAATATTTTCGATGAATAAAATCATCGTTACACTGACCTATATTCCAATATCCACTCACGACAGAAAAAATATTTTTCACAGAAATATTTTTTACAGAGCAGATACACTCTTTTTTTAAAAAATAAAACTATAAAAGCATATATTTTTAATAATTCAATAACGATGAAATTGAATATTTTTTGATCGCCATTCTGAGCAATATCTGTAACAGTGCATCTATTTAATTTTTCTCTAAAATAATTGTAGATGTCGCTAAACACTTTTACAAAAGATTTTTTTTATTTCAAAAATATAATCAAACCTTTAAATAACAGTATCAATTACTAATAATAACCGAACAATCTAAATAAATTATATTATAATTCTTCTTGTTATTATTAGTAATTAACAAAAAATTCTGATATTCTATTTGAGCAATAATATCCCAAAAATACATACAAGAAAGAAAACCAATTTAACCATCCAGCACCATCGGACACCGAAGTATACACCGTCCATTAAAAGTTCATCCGAAACGCAACAAACTTTGCCCACTCTTTATGAAAGAAATGCAAACCTCGCGTGCACCTACTAGTTTATATTCGCCCGCACGTCTTCCATTATCCAAAATTTGCAATTCGGATGGGGCCAGTATTAACGCTTTTAGAGACAAATGGCCAGGGGTTAACCCACCCATCAACTTTTTCCAACTTATCAAAATGGCCGATATAAGGGCGATTTAAAGCTGTTTCCTGCTCGCTTTCTTTCGCTTTAATTAATTCGTTTCGTAAGCGGATTTCACGATGGGAGTTGCTTTCATCCCCGGTTCATTACCGGTTTCTCAGGTATTGGGACATTGTAATTAAGCCTGGTTTGATGTTCTTCGCCGGTTTAACGCGACTTTACGGTTATACCGTGCTACTTAATTGGCCGAGTGCTCGCCTGGGATGGATATATATATATATATATATATATGTAACGCGTTCGCTCTGGGGAGCGCTGATTCCGCGATCGTATGCGCGATGCAATGATGGACGAAGTGTGAATGAATTATGGATGTTGGATTTCAGTGGTAAATGGCGCCGCTACCCGACGAAATCAATGGGATAGAATTTATGGATTTTTTTCCACGAATAAAAGTGGTCTGGTGGTGTTAATCCTGTTAGTTTTCTTTTTTTTTTTTAAATGATATTTTAAAACGTTGTAAAATCGATGTGTAAAATGAACATTACGAATAATTCGAATTAGAGAGGATGGTGGTTGTAAATCTTTAAAGATTTTTGATAAATGAAGAGATGGGGAGTTGATATTGAATTTCTGACTTGTAATTTATTTTACCGCTGATCGTGTTAAACTGAATTATAACTTAATTATAACGGAACTACAGAGTGTTTTGCATAACTGTTACAGGAATCTTCGTAATCTTTTATAAAAAATCTTTTATAAAAAAAATTATTAAATTAGCTAGCTGCGTCAAGATGATGAATTATTATTACAGTTTAAAAGTTTGCTAATTTGCTATGAATTTGAGACATCAAGTTAAAGAATTAATTATAAAGGAGATTATTATTTATCAAATAAATTATCAAGAATCTTGATAAGGGTGAGTACAAATTCAAATATACAAATATTTAATAATTTAACTAAATGTTAGAAAGTAACATTTTTGTTTTTCCAATTCCACTTAATATCACATAAATATTCACAATTTATTTATTATGCAGTTTTGTTTTTTTATCATCTGATGTGAATACTTATTGAAATTTTGTGAAAGCTTTGTAACCGTTATTCGTTTTGGATCTAGCTCAATTTCAATTCTCCTCCACTTCGGCCGCGTGCAATTTAAACCCTTTTCACTTTGATGTTTAGTTGAAAAGTTTAAAATTACTTTTCTCGTTAAGTCAACATTAATGTTCTTTAATATTCACCATGTTTCTGTAAACTTTGTTTATTCCCTTAACAAGGACCTCACACACTTTTCTTGTTTATTTATTATTATAATTGCTAAACGAAACTTGTACAATTGAACGAACAAAGTATACAGAACTTCTACAAAGTTTTAGGATTGGACTTTATTGAAAATTAACTTCTCAATAAAAATAATTTTATTTCTTCTTATAGTTTTCAATAGTATATATTGAATCATTCTCCCAAATACATTGGAATGGAACTATTATTAATTTTTTTTTTTTAATCAGAATACCTTCCACGTATATAATATTTTGATAATTGACGAAATGCATAAAAAGATAAATAAATAGTTAATTGTCACATGGCGCTAGTGTAGCCTCATTGCCATCAATTAATGGCCATTTATTCATCGATGTTTGAACCTTGATGACAACATGTTTATGAAAAATTGTTTTTTGAAAAATCTATATAATTATACAAACGAAACATTGAACGAAGTTAAATTTAAATATATCATGTGATTTTTTTCAATTCTAAAACCTTGTATATCGTGCAGCATCGTGGATGAAGAAATTTTTCTAATTTTCAAATATATAATATTTATAAAATTAATATCTCTCAATACATGCAATGGACGATTAACCCTTTACTTAAATAAGATAAAGCGTATCGTGTGTTCTCACCTGGGTTTTTCTATCATTTTTTTCACGCATCGTAAGGCAGCTTCAGTCGATGTTAGGAGGAAGGTTCGTTTAATCATTGGAACAGCTCTTCCGCTCGTGTTCGTGTATCGTTGAACAAGATGGATTTTGATGCTCGAATCGTTTCCTCATCGATCTTGCGTGAAAATAGCAAATTGCATGAAATCGATCGAGCTCTCTCTCTCTGGTTCGTATCCTTAACGCTTCGGTTTTTATAATCCATCAGAGGATTAATAAAAGTACTTATTCTTAAGAAAATGTATTCTTGGAACTTAATAGGAAATATGAGATAACTCCACTTTCAGGCATCATAAGAGTATCATCCTTAAAGATACGTTAAAAAGAGATAATTTTGGAAGATTATCAAACAACAATGGATTCGAATCAGCATTCGAAACGAAGAAGGATATAAATCTTTCACTTGACTATCATTCGTATCAATCTTTCTTGAATCTGATAACTTTTTAATTACCGTTTTAATTATTTTATCGTCAAAGTATCTTTTGGGAAGATATTAAATAAAAATGTGCACTTTGTTGGTCATGTGTCTGGTGTTTCGTAGATATTTTTCTCATCCTGGACGAGAGAACATGATATTTTTCAACGTTCTATCTACGATGTTTCTCCTATTTCATGAAAGACGAGCGAATTTTCGTCCATTTTACCACCCATCTTCGCATTTCGTATACTGATACGATCTCGATACGAATATATCTACCATTTTATCTACTATTTTTGCATCCCTTTCGTTTTCATTAACCAACCCGACCCACGCAGTTGATTATTCGATCGAATGAATCATGCCTCACTCTGTCTTAGATAAAGATTTATCAGATTACTTTTTCTTTTATAGTTTTATTTATTTTTATTATTATTAAGGATACATTTTTATCAATCGATGCTTCATTCAAAGTCTTTGATGGAAAATGGCTGTCAGCCTCGATACTTGGCATTCTATTCATGCGTGTAACACTGTTTAAAACTAGCTTTCAAGTCATCGTTATATATATATATATATATATATCGCTTATATATATATATATAAAGACATCATACTTCAGCCTCTTTAACATGGACGTTGTAAAATGTTAATTTAAGTCAGAGAATATATTATTCTTCGTTTCTCTTATTTTTAGATTTAAATCGATATTTTTATGAATAATTTGTATCTTATTTATAAATTATTCTATACATTTTGTACATCCATGAATTTATATATTACGTATTATTAATTTAAATAAAGCCGATATTTACTTTTCATATATTTAAATAACTTTAATGTTTATTAATTACAATACCATGATCTCTTTGATACAAATTATTCGAAACATAATTTCCCAGAATCATTTGCTTTATCGTATTTGTTTTGTATAATAAAAATGTAACAATCAAAGAAAGATAATTTTAATGACAGCTCTGAAGACCTCTTGACAAAAAAATTTCAAAAAGTATTATAAAAATATTTTTAAGAAGATGATCATCACGTATATATAAAACAAATATAACAATTAATATATTAATAATAATTTTACACAATTATTATTACAACACGAATTTTATTTTCACATCTCGCGTTTACCGCAAAATCGATCGAACTTTTTCACGCTAAACGCTTCGAGTGCAAAAGCGTGAGAATGAATTCGAATAAAGTGTGCTTATAGCCATTGACGTCTTTTTTCTTTTTAATTTTTCACAAGCTTTTATAAGCTCTCAAAGCGTAAGCCAGGAATCAATCATCGGAACTGAAAACGAATTTCTCCATCGAGGAGGATGACCGACGATACGTGACAAAAGAATTGGGCGTCTTTTTCTTTCGGTTGTATTTTTTTTTGATTCCGGATCAAGAGGAGACCGTTCGATTTCCGGTATAACTGACTCTTGATTGGGAACGTTCGATAATCA